TTTGTTAATCTGAGCAGGAGTTGAGGCTGATGGTAAGCTGATACTATTTTGTCCTCCCACTAATACGCACGAACAATTATAAACACCCTTTTCAATTTTATCCACTCATAAACAAATGGCCATGCTCTCTCAGTAGGTCACAGGAGCGACAGGGGTGAGTTAATTCTGTGTGCAGTCTCTTCCCATTCTCAACACTCACCTAAAGGGGGCAAGGTTCAACCCCAAACCTCTGCTGAAGTAACAGCACCTCCACCCAGCCACACAAGAACCCAGTATTATCATTGAATAGCTCATCCCTCCCACTGTCTCTCAAACAACCACCCAGGCAATTCCTCCTCGAAGTTCTCCTTGAGAAGTCCCTCAACTCTGGCCTCCTCTCAGATCCCACGGCCTCTGCTCCACTTCGGTCCTTATCACATCCCACATTAACTGTCACAACAGCTTCTTGCCCTTCTTGATGCCACCTCCAAAATCTGGCTGCATCAACTTCGCCAGATTTATCTTCCTAAAATAAATACCATATCATACTTGCCTAGTTAAAAATGATGCAATAGCGAAGTCTCACCAGCTCTCCTTCCTCAGGCTGAATACTCTGCGGAACCAAGGGTATGCTCTCATTCTCGCTCATTTCAACTTCTACCCAGGCCTGAGCCTTATCCCACTTGCTACACCCAGCATAATCCTGTTTACCCTTCAAGATCCAGTTCAGACACCATGTCTTCTTTCAAGTCTTTGCCAACCCGTAAACTAGGGTGGCCAAATATCACTGTTTGCACCTGCTGTCCTGGGTAATTTCTGAAAGCTCCCCATTTACTCTCACAGTGCCCTACTGTGAATAAGAAATTATATGGCCCTCCTCCCTAAAACCTATCCTGACCCAAAGATAGGACTAGTTACTTGTGTAACTGTCTTTTGCTATACTGTGTGTTCCTCCAGGCGATGATGCTATCTCATCTTAGTATGCACTTGCAGCATCTAAAGACTGTTAGCACCTAAAGAAAGGGCTCAGTGAACACTGGTGGAATGAAAGAATGAATCTGATTCTAAGAAAACTGTGGCAATCAATTTTATCTAAACTTCATCTAAAATTCTAAAGGAAAACATTTCTGAAACAGAATTAGATTTTAAAAGAAACAGGCCATTGAAAAATCTGTCACATAACCCATTTCTTCCCTAATCCAGTGTTCTTCAACTTTTTTTCGTTACTGCCCCCCTAAGAAGCCTTTTTAGACATTTTTTTCTAACCACACCCCCCATGAAATTTTAAAGCACAGAGATACATCTATACATAAAATGAGCAAGTATAGTTGACTTTTTATGCAATAATGGGTTCTGAATGACTAAATAAAAAATTCAAGTTAAATTAAAATTTTTTAAGCTATTAACATTAACTTTATAATTGTATTTGCTGAGTAACTTATGTAATTTTAATGTAAAATATATCAAATTACATATGCAAATTACCAATTTCTACATAATAGAAATGTAACCAAATATTTAAAAGACATTCAAAACTTATTTTTCCAGCAAAGGTAAAACAATCAAAACTTTATCTTCTTTAAAGTTATTTTAGTAAAATTAACTCATTTCATATGAGAAAATAATTTTTAACTTAACTAGCTGCCAGATATTCATTCAGATATTGTACTTCTTGACATAATTATTGGTGGAGTAAATAATTTTAATAGAATTAAACAATAAAACATAAACTATTTTTATTTAATTCTCAAATCCCAAATCCCACAAAAGCATGGAGAACCAAATATAAGCAACATCCAAAAGGCAGTCAATGGCAGCCCATAAATATGAAGAGGCCACCAAGAGAGAGATGACTTCAAGATCAAGTGACTGATGGTCCTCCAGTAATATCCATCTATTTGCCATAAGTTTGTAGTACAGATCTTGCATAATGTCAGTATATCTTGCATGAACTTGATGTCAGTGTTGCTTGTATAATACCCAAGAAAACCAAGCTTTGACGGGCCACACACTACTGTAATATCTAAGATGTTTTGGTAACCCTCCAGAACCAACTTTTTCCACCCTTAAGGTTGCAAGCCCTAACTTCTGTGTTCTCACATTTATCCTCCTAGCTCCTGTACAGGAAGGAAGGAAGGAAAGAAGGAAGGAAGGAAGGAAGGAAGGAAGGAAGGAAGGAAGGAAGGAAGGAAGGAAGGAGAAGGAGGGAAGGGAGGGAGGGAGGGAGGGAGGGAAACACTCTATCCCACAGATACCATGAGAGCTCTTCTACTACAATCATCTTCTTGGTTACTTTGAAAGAAAAGGGACTCCCATATTATTAGCCCTTCTCCCAAAAAGGAGCTCCTTCCCCTCCAAAAGCACAGACTTCTAAAGGTGGAAGAACACTGAGGTCTCATCCAGCCCCTCCTTCTTCATATGAAGAAACTTAAAAGAGCCCTGACAGGTTGAGAGATCAGCTCAATCAAGGTCATTTGTCTGTCTAGTTCACTGTTTTGGACAAGGTCACTTGTCTGTCTAGTTCACCGTTTTAGACAAGGTCTTTGTCTATCTAGTTCACCGTTCTATCTCCAGGCCAGCGCCAGACTTAGCATATAAGATGGTCAGATATTTGCACACAAAATGAAAAAATGGGGCAAATTAGTGACAGAGCTGAGAGCCCAGTTCACTTCTCCAACTACACCCTTTTACTTCCCTAGAGTATCAAATAGTGGCCACAAAGACTTGTGTTTGAAAAACTTCCTAGCAGAAATAAGCTATTTTAGTTCACATACACAGTAAAGTTGAAGAGCAAGGTCTTGTTCATTCATGTGCAGAGAACTTAGCCCATTGAAAGCTAGGGGCTGTCTGCAAATTAGTCAAGGATACCCAGTCTACAATGCACTACTTCTCACTTGCTTATTCTGCCTTGAGCTCTTTTCTAGAGTTCTTGTACACATGTCCTATCTCCCTCCCTGAGCTGAGAACCCTAGAGAGCCAAAACTGTGTCTTCTCTTTCTATTACCGAACATGGAATAGGGGCCTAATAGTTACTGAATTTAAAAAATGAAGTTACTGAATTTAAAAATGAATGAAAGATACGTCAAAAACTGAGAAATTAAGCAATATTCATTCATTCATGCATTCATTCATTCATTCAAAAAAAAAGTATGTATTTACCAAGTATCTGTGTGCCAGGCTCCCTGCTGCTCCAAAACCTAAGCTCCCTAATGAAGCTAGAGCCCTTCTCCCTAGAATGCATGCTAATACATCGTTTCACTAAATGGACATAGCAGTGGACATAGCTGGGTGGCCATATGTCTCAATAGGCCCAGGACAGTCCCAGTTTATACCTACTGATCAAGCGTTAATTATTAACAGGATCCCCTTTCTTTCTTAATATCCTGGTCTAGAAAATTGTGTAGCCCTAAGTGTAGCGAATCTTTTTCAACAAGCATTAAGGATTCAAAACTTTCACTCTACATTTACTAGCTACTCCCAGTCTTATTTCCTCATTTATAAGACAAGCATAATACTGATTAAACTAAATGGTTATACGTAAAGAAGCAGCTAGGGACGAGGCTGGGACATCAGATTGAGATCACACAGTAGAGAGCCCTGCATGTCAGGTACTTAATGTAATATACAACAGAGAGCCATGAAAACTTTTGAGGAATGGAGTGAATGTGTGGTTAAAACATCAAAGAAGTGTCACTACCTTGATTACAGAAAAGAACTAAGGGGGAATGAAAAAGAGCTGACTCTGTGACAACCAAAAAGACAGCCCAAAGCTATAGATCAAGTTTGTCACAGATTAAAATAGCAACAACTGTGCATTTGCTTTTATGAGTAGTTTAAAAGTTTCAACAATAAATAGATGTACTTGAGCAAACTCTAGTTTATTGGTCTGTGGTGTTGGCATCTTCATTGCAAAAGACAGGCCGTAAGGAAGGTTCTGGACAGCCAGACTGGCCCTCTTGTCTTCCAATCACATAAAGGAGCTGTGATTCAGTTTTGTTTTGTTTTTATTTTAATGTTCATTGTCAGGAGTTGACCGACATTGAAGAGATAGACAGGAATCTTAACCGGCCTCCTCCAGATCTTCCACTATTGCATCATTTGAAACTAAGCCTCCTCAGGCAGCGACTTGTAAAATTCAAGTCAGGTAAAATGGCAGCTACGGCAGCTGTGGGTGCTGCTGCGCTGCCACCGGCCTCAACTTCAAGCTCAAGAGAACGCGTCTCCCCGGAGCTACCAAGCGCTGAAAGGAACAATCAATAAATCAACAGGTCGGGTGCGCCTGCCCGTGGGTGCTCAAAGTCGGGCGCGCCGGCCACAGGAGGAAGTGGCCAATTATTTAAATACAGTTGGGACAGTCAGCCTTCTGGAGTCGGTTTTCGTAGTGCCTTCTCTCCGTCTATACCACTGACACTGGGAACCTACTTGGGAGAGGCCCATGCCCTGTGGACGGAGGGCAAAGCACCAATTCCAGGGCTGCTGCTCTGGTCCCCTCACCCTCCGGCCCCCAAGCAGCCCGTGCTGACACCCCTTCTCTCATCAAGCCTTTTCGGTTTGGCCACCAGGAAACTTCCATAGAAGGTGAGACTCTCACGCAAGAGACGGTTCCACAAAACCCTGAGGACCAGTGTCTGGACTTAGGGGTCAGACTTCATAAAGCTCACATGTCTCCGCAGAGGCTCAGAACAGCTCAGTGCTGCGAGTCCTGCGCTCCCGCGCGCTCACATCCATCCACCCGCGGACCGGACGTGGTGTCCTCCAGCCTCCCGACCCCATAGGGCCGGCGCCCCAAACGACGGCACCACCTCCGCTCCAAGAGCCGCAGAGGCCCCCCGCAATCCCGCGGCAACAGATCTCCCAACGTGGGTGCCCAGACCGGCGGCCCCTTCTCCTTCCTCCAGGCGGGAGTCTGGTTGCCAGTCTCAAGCTGGGACTTTGGGGGCGGGACCTTGGCGGTCCGCGCCAGGCTCGCTCACCCCTCCCGGGCTCCAGAGGCAGTGCCTTCACCCGCCACCGGCCAGTACCTCGTCGGCTTCCAGCTCTGCTCCGTTGCCTACGAGCGCCATGTTCCTCCTCCGCCCGCTGCCGCCCAAAAACCAAGAAGGGAGCGTAAAGTCAACCCCGTCTCCTCGCTCCGGGCTCAGCCCAGCGCCAGTGAGGGAGGACCCAGGCGGACCCCGCCTTCCCGCCGGCTCCCGGGCGGGGCCAGAGCGCTGCCAAGCGAGCACTTTCCCCGCCCCTGGCGCCCGCCGACCCGCGGAGCATCCATTTCTCTTTGCCACAAGCTCCGCCCCTCACAGGCCTCGCCCCGCCCTCCAACGGGTTCCGACTGGAGCAGCCAGCCAACAGTTCTCCCCAGCCGGCATCCGCCTGGGACCCCCACGTGGTTGGGGTCATCCCGGGGCAGAATTGCCTCGTGGGCGGAGTCACCTCGCACACCAAGACTTCGCCGGTCTGCCTAGCCTCTGGGAGGGTATGTGAGGTTTCCGCTTCCTGCACTCTGCAGAGTGCCAAGAGATGAGGCCAGGGTCAAAGCTGCGCTACCCCTGAGGCCCATGAAGCGTCCACTTGGTCCTTGAGCCGATGACAGTCCGCTTCCCGCGCAGGTGGACACTGTGTGCTGTAGCCAGAGTGCCTCGGGTCACTGTCACTGGTCACCCAGAGACCTTTGGTCAGGGTCACCGTCTTCTGTATATGTTTGAAAACTAAAAGAAAAACCACGAGACAGATATACTACTTAGAGCTCCTCTACCCCTCCTCCCACTACCTTGCCACTTTTATGTCTCTATAGCATCCCACCCTGACCTCTTTTGTCTCCCCAAATATATATGTATAATTCGTGCTTGCACTATAAGCTCCATAAATGTAGGGATGTTGTCTGTCTTCTTCAAGGCTGTATCCCCAGCACCTTGAAGAGTGCCTTGCACCTAGTAGGCGATCAACAGATATTTGTTGACTGAGTTTAGATGTTGATTCTTGCTTCTAACATGTAAAATAACCAAACTATCCAACTGGTAAATTAAAAGCTATATTTTAGGGGGGCTTTATCAGATTCATTTTGCATACAATAAAATTCACCAAGTTTAAGTGTATAATTTGATGACAGCTTACAAAACACCGTCCCATAGTAATATAGAACACCCCGAAAGTTCCTTGTGCCCCTTTGCTCTAATTTCCTACCCCCGGTCCCTGGCAACCAGTGATTTGCTTTCGATCACCATCATTTTGCCATTTCTAGAGTTTCATATAAATTAAATCATAGAATATGTGGTCTTTTGTGTCTGGCTCATGAAAGACTATTTAATGGTCATCTAGTGATAATTATAAAAACAGCTAACACTTATTGAGTACTTTCTATATGCCAGAAGTATGCTAAGCCCTTTGCATATATTATCTTATTTATCCTTCGTAACCCCATGAAGTAGGTACTGTTAACTTACAAATGAGTAAACCAGATGAGTAAACTGAAGGCTCAGCAAGTTTAAGTAATTTGCTTGAGGTCAGACAGCTATTAAGTAAGTAGGGGTGCAAGAATCTAAACACCAGCAGTCTGACTGGAGGGCGTGCCTGGTAACCATTGCTCTGCACTTCTAACCACCCAGCCTCTTTTTCTCCCTACTTGTTTCTGTAGAGCAGCTGCCTGCACATGTCTATTACACACATTTTCAGTGAGTCACCTTTGCATCCTTGAAATTTGCTCTACAATTTTTTTTCTTTTTTTCCCCCCTCTTTAATTCACCGCCCCCCCAACTCCACTTCCACCCCTGACCTATGGATGTTGCCATCTCCCCTTAAGAACTGGATCTCTGAAGACAGGGGATCTCCTCCCACTCGCTCGCTGAGGGCACCTGGGGCCTGGCGCACCTGGGGCCTGGCACCCCTGGAGCACATGGGGTTGGGGGGGCCTGGCATACACGGAGTATGGTCCGTGGCTCCACCTAGGTGTAAACCCAGGACCTTCTGCGTGAAAAGCAGACGTGCTAACCACTACATTATGGAGTCACCCCTTGCTCTACAATTTTGATGAGTCACTATGTAAATTTATACTAGAAAAATAAAATGGTTTTTAGCCCATAAACAACATGAAAAATGGGTTAGATTGTAATGATGGTTGCACAATTCTATGAATTTACTACAAATCATGAATTATATACTTATAATGGGTGAATTTTATAGTTCTATACATTATATCTCAATAAAACCTTTTAAAAACTTGTTAACACACTCTTTGGGTGCTCTTAGAATCAGATACATGGGGCTAGAAGGGACCTAGAGATCACTCAATTCCAGTACCCCTGAAAGTTTCCATTCCTCCCCCCAGCCTCCTGTTTATGCTTCACTTTCTGAGGCTAGATTTCCTGTGGAGGTCCAGATTCTACTCTGTATTACCAACACATAATTCTGTTTTGTAAAGTTCATTGGTTCTTAAATTAATATCACATCTTTCGAAGTGAACCCATCTCACTGGTGGCTTTTTCCTCCCCCATATTTTCAATTTCTTACTTGTCATACTTACGAATTTTAACTCCTCAGATTTTGAAGATACAAAAAAAACTTGGCTCTAATTAGTGACATGATTATGTTATATTGAGAATCAAGTCTAACTTTTCAAAATTCTATTCTTATAGATGTGTCATTTTTTAAATACCAGAGATCAAATCTGAAGCCCTGTGTGTTTTAAATTCACATCTCTAGATCAGCAACACTCATATTTCTTAGGAAGCCAATTATAAACACTGGATGAATAAACGTGTTCTAGCATCTGGAACATCTAATCAAATTTGCTTTCCTCCTGGCAAATGCCAACTTTGTTTTCCTGCACATGTGTCATTTTATAAGATCTCGAATCACAAATATAAAACAGCTTTTTTTAAAGAAAATTAGAATGGATTCATTTTTATCACAGAATTTCCCTTGCTAGTTTGCTGATAACAAATGTACCTTAAGAGTCAAGTAAGATTACTCAGATATTCCATTTCCCAGCAGTAACTAGCATTGGGATTAAGCAAGAGCGGTGTCTCAATTTTTTTACTCGAAGGCAAACCTACTGGGAGCTGTTTGGGTTTCAAAATAAATCTAATATTGCAGAATCTAATCTTTAGTATTCCCGAGCCAATTACCCTTAGCAGATGTAAGGGGTTTTCCTTGATATTTGATTTAAATAAAAATTGCATTTTCGTCATTTGTGTAGTGGGAGAATGGTTTTGCATTTAGAAATAAATATTTTAGATGCTCCTATCCATGAAATAAGTACTCATTATAAATCATGCATTTGTCAGTGGCTTTGTCTCACATTTACATCTTAGCTCCTCAAAAAGAACGTCCCCTTCTAAAATAGCCCCTCCCTCTCAATCCCATACTACCAGGTCTCCTACCCCCTTCATAGCACTTATTGCTATCTGAAACTATCTTGTTCATTTATTTGTTTACTTGTTTATAGTCTATCTCTCTCAATAACAACACTCCCACATACACTATAATGTAAACCCCATAAGAGAAGGAACCTTGTGTTTTGTGTTTACAACAAAATCGCAATGCCCAACATGTAATGGATACTTAGCAAATGGATATTGAGTGAATAAATGAAAGTATAAAAAGTTCATAATATACAGAGCATTTGGTTTAGACCTTTAGCATAATAATTATTTATTTATTTATTATTATTATTTTTTATTTTTTTTTTTAGGCGAGGCAACCCTTGGTTGACCTCACAGATTACAAGGACCTTGTCAGTTTACAATCCCTTATTTTTTATTTTTTACTTTTTACGCCTACAGCACCTGGTCTTCCTAGGTAGTCTCCCACCCAAGTACTAACCAGACCCGACCCTACTTAGCTTCCAAGATCAGACGGGATCGGGCTTGTTCAGGGTGGCATGGCTGTAGATGCATAATGATTTTTTAAAAAACAGAGAAAGCCAGTAATAATGAGATTAAAGAACACAAATTACATGAAATCTAAAAAGTAAATACTGTTTTTCTAGGGTAATGTGGCAGGCATGATGACTATATTTAATGCCTACTCATTTTTTCAAAATTATTTAAGAGCTAAGCACTTAGAGGTCTCTCAATGACCAAAAGGGATTAATTCATGTTCCCTGGAGAAGCTTAAAGGCTAGAGAGAAAAAAACCTTGTTTAGTGGAGGCTGAAATCTCCTCTTAAGAATATCCCTGTTCAGGGCATTTAAAGCTGGGTAAATATTTATTTTGCCCTCTTTATCAGCTCTTTGTTCACTTCTTTACATATAGATAGACAGATGATGATAGATAATAGATAGATAGATAGATAGATAGATAGATAGATAGATAGATAGATAGATAGATAGATACTTTCCAATCATCTTAATCTCATTCTTTTCAGATGAGGAAAGTGAGACCCAGAAAAGAGAAAAGCAAAACAAAGACTAACTTTGGCAATATGAGACCTCAGAATGGATGGAGTGTTGAGGATTTAAAAACAAAAATAAATAAGGAATCTGTGTCAGAGGCTGCTCATTGCCACTTGCTGTTCATCCTCCCTTTGCTCCAATAGTAAGAGAACCTGATTTTATATAGGGCAGCATGGTGCCCACCTTAAAGATTACATTTTCAAGGACTCATTTACAACTAGGAATGACCAATCAAACTAAATTCTGGCCAGTGAAATATATTATATTTGGCTTGCAAGAAGGCTGTTTAAAGTGAAATGACTCAACAGAGGCATGTGTCCTATTGCCCTTCTGCCTCTCCTCCTTCCCACAGGCTGGAACAGATATTATGGAGCTTCTGCCATCCTATTGGACCATAAAGTAACACCTTGGGAATAGAAGCTATTAACAAGAATAGCCAAACAAAAAGACAGAATGAGTCTGGATTCCTGATAACTGTGGAGTTGCCACATCAGTACTTGACTACTAACCTCTAGATTTCTATTACATGAACAATAAATCAATTACTATATTTGATTAAGCCATCATTATATTCAGTTTTCAGTTGCATGCAAACAAATCTAAATCTAAATGTATGAGTATGTAATTCAAAACATTTTTAGAGGTTCTGAGGCCCCATATACCTTCCCATTCACTCCAGCCAAAGCATTTAGAACTTCTAGTCAGTGTTGGCTTGGAGTAGCCGGCCTGGAACAGTTTTTCAGCCCATGCACATCTCTCCTGAGGACACTTCCTCCAAATCTTCTTTCTCTGGATTCTGTTGTGCCTTCTTTTCTGTCATGGTTTCCCTCACATTGCTAGA